GAATGTAATAGATTAAACACTAAGGTTGCTATATTTTCAATTATAACAATTAAATCTTTTAAAATACTTACCAAAAGGCTTTGATTTCATTTTTTCTATTAGCTTCTAAGTGAATTTCTGAGACATACAATCATAATTTGGTTTGTGGATATAAAAAAGAATTTTAATCTGATTTAGTTATAGAGAGAAAATACTTCCTTCCAGTCAGTAATAATATCAAGATGATATGTAATTCCTTATCAGGTGAATTAGAAGTGAACAAATCACATTAGATATATGAAGGTGAAAAGATAAATAAAAATTTTAAAAAATTATACTTAGCTCTGCTTTGAATGACAAAGACTGAAACAGTAGAATATTTTGTTTCTTTCACTAGCGGATAATCGTATGTTTGCCTAAGATAGTGCCACAGATCCCTTCCATTATTATTTTAAGCATCTTCACATAAGGAACAAAATAAAATTATTTTCTTTTAATTTCAGATACTAACATCTACTCTACCAACATGAGCCTCTATTATCCGCTTTGTGACCCGTTACTTCCCTTTATACACCCCAAGCTTCTCTGAACTGGGCCACTTCCTCCTCCCGAAATGTATCTATTTCTTTCCAGCTCTAGTCTGAGCTCTGCTTGGAAGATGTACTCTCCATCTCTCTGTTCCCCTCTTTATTCCCTTTCAAGCCCTCCCACCTCTCAAGGTCTATCTCAAAAGTGCCAAGCACCAACCTACTCTGAGAATGAATTACCAGTTCTTGGAGGAAACAGCACCTTTATTCAGCCTTAAAGAATGAGTTAGTATCCATTAGTTGTTTTTCCTGGTGGGTATTAACTCATTCTTTAAGGCCAGCTTAATACCTGGGAGATGAAATAATCTGTACAACAAACTCCCATAACACAACTTTACCTGTATAACGAACCTACATATGAACCCTAGAACTTAAAATAAAAGTGAAATAAAAAATTAAAAAAGAAGACCTGGGAAGTAAGCAGGCAGTACTGCTGTGTAAAGCTTTATATCCAGCTTAGCAACTCAGAACTCTGTTTTCAAAAACAAATGCAAAAAAAGAATGAGTTAGAATTACTCATTACTGGAGGTGCAAGGCTGAGTAGGGAGGGGAAGGAAAAGGTAGAGGGCGTTAGCATTCTTTGTTGGCAGACTGGGGAAATGAGTTAAGGAACAGAGAAGGAAAGCTACCTGATAGATGTCAGCAAGCTACCAACAGCTTTCTACTGACATCAGTTCTGACAAGGACTGGTGAGGAATGAGGCTAGAAAGGAAGTCAAGTATCGCATCAGGAAAGATTTGGGCCCATGAAAAATGTTATACTTTTGTATGGTGTCCTCCTTCAGCACACCATACAAATTTTCATAGAAAATTTTCATAGAAAAATGGCATAGTTCCATTGGCAATTTGGCACACTGGAGGCCCACTGATTATGACCCTAATCTGGTCTTCACAGCTCTAATTTCCATTGCTCTAGTATGAAGTCCCCAAACTCTCATCAGATTTAACTACTGCCTCTTACCTAAACACAACCCATATCTTTCCTGCTTGATAATCTCACTCTGGAAAAGCAAATCCCATTTTGCCTATCATCTGCAAAAATATATATAATGCTCTTCCAAGGGTGTTTGTGAGGCTTAATGGGCTAACACATGAAAGTATCCAGTCTACTGTTTGTTGTCACTTATTAGAGGTACGATTTTCTTCCTTCTTTCTGAAGATTTACCTAAATCTACTTCAAATTACAGTTATATATATACCTGCTACAAAATTGCAAACTCCTTAAAGCTAGGACTACATCTCAAACAGCACCTCTAACCAGGGGAAATTTTGCCTTTTAGAGGACATGTGACAATGTCTAGAAATATTTTTATTGCTTCAATTGTTGACAGTCTTGATTGTAGGATGTTATTGTTTAAACATTGACAACACATAACAGCCTCAATAGAACAGTATTCCAAACCCAAAATGTCAGTGGTGACTAGAACTCTGCTTTAGTTCATCATTGTAGCCCAGGTAGCAATTAGCAGAGTTGCATATTACAGGAGATTGGATTCTTCTGTTCTCACACTGCTCATAAAGACATACCCTAGATTAGGTAATTTAAAAAGGAACGAAGTTAAATTGACTCACAGTTCAGCATGGCTGGGAAGGCCTCAGGATATTTGCAATCAAGACAGAAGGGGAAGCAAAGACCTTCTTCACATGGTGGCAGCAAGGAGAAGAAAAGCCACTATATGTGGCTTCACATGGTGGCAGCAAGGAGAAGAAGCAAAGGAGGGAAAAGTTCATTATAAAACCATCAGATCTTTTGAGAACTCACACACTATCATGAGAACAGCATGAAGGTAACTTCTCCCATGATTCAGTTACCTGCCACTGGGTCCCTCCCACAACCCCTGGGAATTATGGGAACTACAATTCAAGATGAGATTTGGGAACACAGCCAAACCATATCAGAGACATTCAGAATTGTTAGAAATAATTTGAAACCCCTCTCTATAGGTAAATTTTATAAATTGCCACTGGGGAGGTAAAATTAAATTAGAAATGTGTACTGTATAGGGAAATTGGAAGATAGCAGAGTTTATGAATCTTGATTAATTTGGGGAACACAAATTTCCATTTGTAGTTAGAGGTGACCAATTTAAAAGCTAAAGTTCTCTTAATCAGCAAGCTTTTGTAAAAAATGCAGCAGGATTTACTTTTATATCAAAGGAGCTCCCCAGATAATTAAAGAGTGAAAATGAATATAATTAAAAGATCATTGGTAAGCAGAATGCAGTGCCTTAGCTGCATTCTGGGAGAGTACACTTAATAATCAAGAATCTACTGACACTTTAATGAGAAGTTTAAACTTATTGGCCATGAATCTCAGAATGTATCGATGCTTATTACCTAGATATTCATTTCAAAGAAATGAAGTGATGAGTAAGAATTTTTTTAAAACAGTTTGTAATTAGGACAAATTGCTTTACAAATAATTTTAATAAGCATTTAACACTGAAAAGAAGAGGAAAGCTACTGATAAACCTGTAACATTTAGCCACATATAGTAAGAACTCAATGTGGAGGAAGAAGTGAAGCTATAAGCAATACCAAGGAGATTTAACCACACCCATAGGCTCTTTACCTAGACACAGCCAGATCCAAGTACCAATGTCAAGCACCCATGGGACTGGCTCACTCCATAAAAAGAGCATTTTCATGGGTCCTGGTGGATGAAAGATCAAGATGTGTTAGTATACTCTCTATTTTTCCAGTACTCATGAAATCCTCAAATCACTATGTGATATGAGTTTGGATAAATCAAAATCTTTGCTAAAGCCAAATAGGAGACATTGGTTTTTAATTAGTACTCTGAACTTTAAAAATAAGTCCCATAAAAACAAAGACCTTGATGATTCTATTATATAAAGAAGTGGTTCTTACTATCACTATCTTATTGCCAATAGCAACATATAATTCAAAGAGAAACATGCTGATTTGATGAGTTTTCTAAAATATTTCTTAAAAAGAAAACTCAGTCTTCTGATATAGCATCAGTGGTATTTATTTTCGACTCTCTATGATGTATACTGGTGCAGATACTACCGCTGGGGGTAGAGAGGGCCGAGAGTATCCATTCCCTCTCCTCCAGGATCTAAAAACAAAAGTGTATGAAGTGTTACATAAGTCTTTTTCCTTCAACTCTGCCTTCCCAAATGTGGTCACTGCTGCTTCCTCTATTGTCCAGGAATGACCGCTGTTTTATCCTATGCCAGTTCTTTTTGGAAGATAACTAGAATCTGCCAGAATGTGCTTTCTCTCTCAAGTCCAAATTAGGGACTTGAAAGTTTCTTTTCACCAGAGACCGCTTTGTCTCCTAATAGTTCTGCGCTCATTAAATACCTATTAGTGTAGCCTTTGACTTAAGATGTTCCACTCACATCCTCCAGAAGATCACTATCTGTCACCTAATGAAAAACAACTTCATTAGGCTTGTCACAGTAGTTCCTTTTTTTCCCGTGCTTTCACTTCCTGATTGAAGACTGCAGCTTTTCCTAATGTTTTCTTCCCCACACTAAATATTATTGTGTGGGGTGGGTCCTCAGCCAGATCAATGTCTGTCTGAAACGTTGTTGTGAATAATCTTCATCACTGTTTTAAGGACATACCTTTAAGGATTCCTCCAAACTAGATCAATTTGCAAAAAAAGAAAACAAATAGTCTTCTACTTCTCCAGAAATTATATTTGTTTCTTTTGATTAGTGTTCATAAATTGACTAAATAAATATTGTACTAGTAGGAAGGAATACAAAAACACCCAATCTGAAAAAATAGAGAGATCAAATGACTTTGTTGTGCTCCTTTACAAGCACACAGACCTTTTTGTAGTGTTTCAGAAAAGAGAATGTGATGTGTGTAATGCCATATTCAATGCATTTTGATGATATTCCCTACTTATAGGTGTCCATCTCATCACTTCTGTGTAGCATATTGTCTTAATCATACTCAGTGTGCTCTGGTTCCTGTTACAGATCTGAGTCTTCCTTACTTACAAAGAGCCCATGCAACAAACCACAGAATCACCTTAATGTTTTTCCCTCAAAGCATTTTTCTGATGGTCTGTGAGAGTCCATGTTTTAGAATCTCAGGTACTGAGCTAATGAAAAGTAAACAAGAAGTTGATCGGCACAAATGCAAATGTTAGTCCATTAGTGAATCGTCATAAGTCTTTTTCTGTACTGAAAATAATTTGTTTTAGATTGCTTGGCAATTAACAAATCTTACACGTAAACACAGGTCGGAGAAAAACAGAGTGATATGTTTATTTACAACACAGATGAGCATCATTTGAATCAGGAGTCCACACTGGAGTCAAGATCCAGTCCAATGAGCCATGTTGGAGCCCTGAGTCTGGTTGTAAACTGCTTAACTTTGAAAAGTCACTCCCCAGTGAGGTCTGGTTTTGGTGCCTTTGTCTGATGTCTAAAGCATCTCTGTTTTGTTTCAGCTGGCAGGTTTCATCTACGCCTGTTATGTTGTGAAATGTATAACTGAAGAAGAGGACAGCTGTAAGTATTAAAGCTCTATTCTGTTTCTTTCAAATTCAAAGCATCTTCTTTACTGCCTCCTACCTAGCCTTCCTAGTCCTCAGACAAGATCCCACAACACAGCATTAGAATGGAGAATAAGCCTTTTGTGCCCATCAGACCAAAGTGTTTATCTTAACGGTATCCAGCAAAGTGAAGAATGGAGAAGCACCCATTTTGAAAACATAACTTCTTTCTTTTCTTTGAAGGGCTTTTAAAAATCCTTTCCTCTTATAAAAAATTCTAGTAGGGAACAGAGAGGGGAGATTGGAGATGGAAATGTTTTTAAAATGTGGCTAACTTGACCGTTCTCTTTTTATGATCCCTTTATTAGGCATTGATAACTAACCAATTTCACCCAAGACTACAAATCCCCAAAATCAACAATTTGTAGTAGTTGCTAAGATTCTTATGGAAACTGACTTCAGATTAATTCAGAGAATTGTCTTTAGGAAATCAAATGTCCATCTGTCCTTTTCGTTCCTACTATTTGATACAAATGACTAGAACTCTAACTATGTCAAAGGCTCAACATTGAGACGTATTGCTTGATCCAGAGTTTAGATCACAGTACACTCTTACAGTCCTCCTGGGGCTCTGTCATTGTCTGCTCTCCAAAACATGGAGGGTAGAAGGTTTTATTCCATCCCTGCCCCTAAGGATCTAAAATAGGAGAACTGGGGAAAGTACTTCTATTCTCTGTGGGTACTATAATGGATAATTGCCCATATAGTTACATTTACTCACAGGAAAAATCAGAATTGGGAATCATTTTTCTTGGTTTCAAAAAATATTTATAATATTGGGTGTTTGAAACAGTAAGGAAAGAGGAAGGTGAGAATCTGATGATTTGAGGAAAACATCCAAAGATAAATATATGTTTCTTCTTCCCTTTCCAATTATACTAGAAAGGAAGAGGCAATATCAAGTGATTAATTTAGAAGAGGCACTTTTCAATCATACTCATACATGATGTAAAATCAGAAGTATATAGTTTATAATTTATTTCATATATAAAAGGAAAAATGGTCCTTTCAATAAATAAGCGTTTGTAAAATATTCCTTAGTGTTTTAAGTGCTATGTGAGCCTTTGGAGATTTTAGGATGATTCACACATAATATTTTACCTATAGGAACTTGCCAACTAGTAGGTAAAACAAACATATGAGCAAACAAGTATGAAACTCTGTAGTGCATGCTGTGGGTAAAGAGAAGAAAGAGATCAGGAGAAGGGTCATAGAGAACACTTTTGAGCTTGATCTCAAAAGATGAATAGATCTTTACTGTGTTGCCGGTATGGAAGCGAGGGGTGGTCCCAGGCAAAAGGTGAAAAAGCACATCACGGCCAGATTAATGTGACTGAATTTGTTTCCTGTGCTACAGGTAGACAGCTGGAGAAAATTGGAAAAACATGTATGAATGAGATAGTATAAAAGTGGGTATGAAAGATTAAGGAGTTTGAGCTCTATATAATACAATCACAGATCAAAGGGCAGATAGCTTATAAAAAGAGAATAACATAATCAAAAACGTTCTTTAGAAAAAATACATTAGCATCATTATAAAGAAGAGACTCGAGGGGGAAAGATTAGGGAAGAGAACTAGTTAAGACACCATGAAAGTGAGACATGAGATAATGTGAATCTGGACAAGGATCGGTATTGGAGATAGAGAGGATAGGTGAGCCATGAGACATGCCAAAATGACATGATTAGTGGGCAGTGGTGGGTACTGTGATAAGGGAAAAGGAGGAGACTGTTAGATTCCTGGGTGTCTGATGCAAGTGAATAGGTAGATGGAATTGCCACTTGGGAAGAAAAATGGGAATAAGATCACTAGTTCAGTTTGCACAGGTTGAGTTTGAAGTGCCTAGCGCCTATATAAGAGAAGACATCCAGTAAGCACTTGCCTTATACAGAAAAGATTTATTCAAAGATTAGAAAGGGCAAAATATATATGGATTTTAAAATGCGTGGACCACACACACTATGTAAGTTCATTGAGATATTACCATTCAGTGTCTGTGTGCCAAATCCCTGATGGAGGGGAAGTCCCCAGTTAATTTTCATATGGAAGTTGGGCTTTCTCTGGGCTATGTTGTTTGATTTCATTTCACAACGATACCAGTGCATTTTTATCTTCAGACAATACTTACTGACATACCATGTCTCCTACATGCATAATCAGCATTTCGGCAGAATAGCACCTCTCAAAGGAGATCTCAGAAATGCTAGTTCCATAAGACATACTGCTCAAAAAAAAAAAAAAAAAAATACAAAGCCAAGTAAGGTTGACACTGAAAATTTAGAATGCACATTTATATATTAACATTTCTAAGAGTACTGCCAGAAAGAAGTATGTCCATTTTTTTTTTCTAACCCACAGTTTTGTTTTAACTATATTACCTTGAGACCAGACACAGATCAAAGAGAAGAACCAGAAAGAGTTCTACGGCTTGATTATACCCACAGTTCCCCCGGGAGAATACCACATGCCCCACAGCGGCAGGAGTGGGGTCAGTCATGAGGCAGAGGGAGAGCGGAACCTTTAGTTCGAGTCCTACAAGAAGAAATGGATGAGGCAGGGTAGGAAGGTTTATTAGGACAGGTTAACTGTGTTACAAAGTGGTGCCCCATGAAATTCATGTTCACTGTGACTGTTAACGCATAGGTTTAGGGCTATCTAAAGTCTCCACATGTTTTTTGGAGGTGGGTCAGGGCTTACTTGGAAACAGCTAGTGGTCATTTTGTAGATGTTAAAGCATCAATTTATAGAAATTAAAAGTATTATTAATGCAAGTCTCCCAAAATATTTGAACACAGGACTCCTGTTTTTCACCAACCCCACTCCCCGCCGCCGGCTGCCTCTATAAAAAAGCACTTCATATTCCGGAGAATTCTTCTAAAGGAATTCTGCGCTAAACCAAGTTTTGGCCAAAGCGATGTAAATTCAAGGAGATTCAAAGTCACTAATATCTGTTGGAAGATCAAGTTGTCTCTCAAGCATCTAATAAACTTTTTCCCCCAAAAGACTCCAAAAAATAACATATATGTCTTTATGTGTATCTTGACCACAACACCACATCTGCCTTTATTAATCCAAAACACAAGTAGACTTCTCAAAGACAAGTTTTATCATGTTAATCTTATTGCTCAGCGGGCAAAATATGAACTCTTTTTTAAATTTTTATATACAAGTAGACTGACGCTTATCTCAGATGTTCATGGGACTAGTAAACAGGTGGGAGGACATGCTCATTTGGACTGGCTCTCGGTCCAGTGGTCTTCGGTGACTTTCGGTTAGGTTCATTTACTTGTAGTCATTCACACCTAGACAGTTATGAGTATCTTTTGGTTACAGTGCTTTGGGTTGATATTCTCCATATATGATCACTTGCCTGATGTCCATCCTCAGACACTGCCTGGACATATGACTTCCAATCCATCGAGTAAACTAGGTTTGACTTTTCTGTGTAATTTTGGTAATTATATTATAAAAATTATCCCGATCCTTAAAAAGTTTGGTGAAAGGTTAAAATAAAACCACTCTCAAGCAAACCCTGAAACTTGGGAGGGGTTTAATGTACATGTAAACACTGAGAGGGTCTCTATGTGCCTATTTTTACCCACTGTGGATTTGCAATAATGCATCATTATTTGCAATGAAGCATAGTGTCAGGAGTAGGTGCTAGCTACCTGCTTGCCAAATTGGTTAAGTGTCCATTATTAAGAGCCTTATAAGGAACAGAGGACAGCTTTGGTTCGGTAGCTAGTGCTTAGAACAACTGTGGAGATAAGGGCCCAATGATGGCAACTGGATAAAATATTCTTGAAGTCAACATGAAGCTAATCAGTTATGTGCTCAGTTCTGATACCTCAGCCTCACAGCAACAGGTGTATCCAGGAAACTTCAGAGGAAAGAGGCAGAAACCTCCAGGAAGCAATGGAGAGGGTTTGAGTTCAATGAGCAAAGACTCGAGCCTAGACGCAATGAAATAGCAGTAAATCGTCATTGAAACAGAGAGGCTCATGAACATCAAACACCTGAGAATTTTTTCCCTTATGTATCCTTTTAAGCAGTATCTCATTACTCTTCTAGAGTCCAGTTTGATTAATATTTGTAGAGATACTGTTTTAGTTCCCTTGGGGTACTATAGCAAAATATTATAAGTAGGGTGTCTTATAAATGACAGAAATTTATTTCTCACAGTTTTACAGGCTGGAAAGTCCATCAAGGCACCAGAAGATATGGCTTCTAGTGAGGGCTGGTTTCCTTGCTCATAGGTGATACCTTCTTGCTGTAACCTCACATGTGAAAAGGGGCAAGGCAGCCCTCTGGGGCCTCTTTTAAAAGGTTAATAATCCCATTTCTGAGGGCTCCACGGTCGTGACATAACCACTTCCTACAGGCCCTACCTCCTAACACCATTACGTTGGTGATTATGTTTCAAAATACGAATTGGGGAGGGACACTAACATTTAGATCATAGTAGACACTATATTGCAAGGGTTTTTGTTTTTTTTCCATTGAAAAAAAATCTGGACCTTGAAGTTTACATCTCTAACCCTTTAGTTATCTAAGCCGGAGCCACAGCTTGGCAGGCCAGCTGGTTGTGCAGACTCACAGGGCACCACTGCCATCTGCTGTGCCTACCAGGAGATGACGGCCACCCTCAGAGCAGAGATCCCAAATTAGATGTGACACTCCTTCCGCCATGAGTTAGTCAGCTACGGATGCCATAAAAACATACAACAGACATAGTGGCTTAAACAACAGCAATTTGCTTTCCAAAGTCTAGGTGTTAGAAACCTCAGGTTTGGTTTATCCTGAGGCCTCTGTCTTTGTCTTGTAGACGGCACTTTCTGTTGGATTGGGGCCCTATCCTTATGACCCCATTTAACCTTCATTACCTCTTCAAAGGGCCAATTTCCAAGTACAGTCAAGCATATTAGGAGTTAGACCTTCAACATATGAATTTGAGG